GGGATAGTGCACGAATTTAGGGAGCGCAGGAGGTGCTCTCCAAACTAGGTAAGACACATCATTTTATTTTATCGAGCGGATGTACGTGAGGTAATTTTTTACAAACTTTAAAGATAAACTAGTCAACAAACCTGTTTATAATTATAAAATCAAAAATAAAATATATTTTTGAATTGTTTTAAACCATATAATTTACTGATTTGTAATCAATATACCTGTATATTAATAAAACTTAGTTTTTTTTTTTATAGGAGAGGAGGCAAACGAGCATGCGGCTCACCTGATGGTAAGTGACTACCGCCGCCCATGAACAACTGCAACACCAGGGGAATTACAGATGCGTTGCCGGCCTTTTAAAAAGGAGGAGGCTCTTTTCTTGAAGGTCCCTAAGTCGTATCGGTCCGGAAAAATTGCTGGTGGTAATCGATTCCACAAGAAAGTTGTGCGAGGGAGAAAACTTCTTCTAAATCGCACAGTGGTGGACCGCCAATAATCCAGATGTTATGGATGGTATCGCGAGTTTTGTCGCGAAGTGCGATGGTGAAATTGAGCGGCTGGAATTAGTCTGAACAATTCCTCAGAGCACTCCCCGTGATAGATGCGATAAAATACGCAAAGAGATGCAACATCTCTAACGCAGTGTCAGTGAGTCAAGCCGATTGGAAAGAACTCTGTTGTCGACAATTCGAACCACTCTGCGCTGGATGCGGTCGAGTGGAAGGAGCTGGCACTGGGGAGCCCCTGCCCAGAGGTGGGAACAGTATTCCATGTGAGGCCGAACCTGCGCCTTGTAAAAATGAAAGCGGTGTGCTGGCATGAAATACTGTGCCGCTCTGCTGAGCACGCCAAGCTTTCTAGAGGCCAATTTGGTCTTCTCTTCCAAGTGACCACAAAACTGCACGTCACTCGATATGTCAACACCGAGGATACCGATACTGGCTCAGGCAACAAGGGGATTGCCTTGAAACTGAGGAGACAAAGGAGTTCTTTTTAGCGGTAAACGCACAAACTTGTGTCTTCTGGGGATTGAACTGGACTAGATTTAGTCGCCTGAGACTTTGTTCAAAAAAGTCTCGAATCCAGAAACAAGTTTGTTCCGGTACTCGGCGACGTTTTCCCGAGAAATATTGGCACGGCCGGTGTATAAAGCATCACCCGTGCTGGCGTCTGCGTAGCAATGAATGTTATCAGTTTGCAACATATCACTTAGTAAAATATAGTAGTGGCTATTAACAATTTATAAAGCATTTTTTAATATCCACAGATGTCACTGCATCATAAACACCTCTCACCCAGAATTGTGATTTTCCAAAAACAACATTGAGAGCAGGTAAATATGAACAAAATAATTGGTCAAGATTATACAGAATTCTATCTTGTGATTTATTACCAACGTATGTCAAAAATGCAAAGGGTAGGATTCCATAGTCAGTATTATTTATAGTAGCATATTTCATAGTAGTTGTAATAAAAAAAAACAAAATTGAATCATTATCACTTGAGGGGGTGAAAAAACAAATATTTTAAGCTCTCGCTTTTTGTGTTTAAGAGGCACCTTGATTTTTTCAAAATTTAAATGATAATGTCCTCCAGGCCGTTTTCGGCCACGGTGACTACTTGTCGCGGACTCCTATGTATTGGGGTTCCCATGTTAATATGCCTCTAGTAGCAGTAGCAGGTTTCTATATCACATCACATCACACCAATATTATAAAGGCGAAAGTTTGTGTGTGTGTATGTTTGTTACTCTTCTATGCAATAACTACTAATATTCAATATTTAAAAGAAAAATTATTCAATGAATTTAAGTTAAAATCCATATGGCTCAGGCACTTTAACCAGGACCCCCTTGAAAACTTTTTCGGATGTATACAAAGTCATAGAGCTCAAAATACGAAGCCATCGTGTGCAGCATTTGAAGATGCATTTACCTCACTTTTGATAAATAATTTAAATAGTAGCTATTCTCCTGGTTTAAATTGTGAATAAGATGCATGTGAAGTATTCAGTAACCTTGGAAATTTACTCTTAAAAGATTGATAAAGATAACACAATTGAAATTTATTTTGATCACATAAACAACAATATTATTGTAGACTTCAATATAAAAAAAAAATAACCCAACAATAAACTCTGCACTTAATTATGTAACCGGCTATGTTCTGTGCAAAGTAAGTAAAATTTTTAAACTTGCACATCATGCAAAAACAAGTTGTATGCAATAAATGATATAAAAAGTATAAAAATGAGGGAGTATATTAAAACTGCTAGGTGGTCCATTCTACCAATTGGTTAAAGTCAATTGGAAGAATGTTGTTCAGCAATACAAGAGTTACATTAAATATAATAAGAACGGCAAGCAATATAAAAAATATAAGGCAATATATAAAAACAGTTTTATGTATAACCATTAATATCGATTTCATTAAATGTGAAAAACATAAATCCGAACTATCAAACTATATCGATTCATTTCGATTTATCCAGATATATTGATTTGAGTTCGAAGTTCTTCATTTGCAACTGGTGTCTTGATGTTAATAAATTGTTGAAGAGCACCAGATCGGATTATGATTTAGAGGACGCAATACAAAAATGATACCATTAATATATTAAGAAAAGGAGAAAATAAAAATTAATCATATTATTATTTTTTTCTATTCCCTCAAAAATATTTTCTGTTAGTACATATATTTCCAGTCGTATCTCTATGACATTTTCTAATATGTTTTTAGTACCCAAAGATAAAAAAGTAGATTATTTGGTAGGTCTGGAATATTATTGTAATGAGAAATATAAAGTTAATGTTAAAAACAAGTACAACACACAGGGTTAGAGAAAACTTAACTGGTTCTACCAAAAATAACAAACTATTATGGTAAGGGAACAGTATTTGGTAGCTAAAGTATTTAACAAAATAGATCTACGAATAGAAAAAGTAAAAATTAGTAAACGACCACTTAAGAAAAAATTAAAAAAACATTATAGAGGATTGCTAATAGAACTCTATATGCGAGTACATTGTATTAGATTAAAACGTTACAATATTATATATAAGTACTAGATATTTAATTCATATAATTAAAGTTACATGTACATAAAGATATATAGTTAACATAACATTAAGATGTCATAGGTTTATATATTATTTTATTATATAATTGTGTATCATTGTGTCTAATATTAGTAGTATATAAGGTGGTTCATTGTTTTGTAAAAGAGCGCCTCTCGCCATCAAACGTAAAAGTTTGGCGAGTTTAGAATTAAGTAACACCACTCTATCATAAATAAATTAGTAAATAAATTAAAAAAATAAACAGTACACAAAATAATATATAATGCGGCCAAACTAAGAATGGGACTGAATTTCCGCCTGGGAAAAAATGGGAAAAAATTTGAATGTAAGTGGGATATATTAATTTAAAATAACAAATCGTATTTTTCCCGCTAGCTCGTCACAATATGGCGGAAATTCAGTTCTATTCTTAGTTCGGTCGCTATGCAATAAACCTATATATAGGTACTTACTATAGGTTCTTGTTATCTTTACATATAAAAATATGTAAAGATATATAAAAAACGTGACACGTAGTCACGTTGTTTGTCCGCGATGGACTCCTAAACTACTGAACTGATTTCAATGATGGTTTTTATCCCGATAAATGACCCTCAAATTTTTTTATTGCGAATTTAAGGATTTTTATAGGAAGTGTCATTGGAAAGGGCAGAACAACGTCTGCTTGGCCAGCTAGTACATATGTATGGCAAATTTTTAGTTCCTGCAGTTAGAAGCAGATGGCGCCACTCTGAAATATTAGCTGTTTTCTCTATGTCAGTAACATATAATGTATTCTGTGAGGTCAACTCTCGCAATTCAAACTACCAGTTAAGTTTCAACAACAAATTAACTGAATGACGTTGCAATGGTTTTTGAGAAATATTTTACTGATATCCCGATCTTAACCACTAAGTCACTGAACTCTTCTCCTGCCGTCGCCGAATCATTACTTAAACAAAATGTAAATGCGTGAACAAAGAATTTTACATGCCATAAAGTATCATCAAAAGATATTGTTAAATATTTTAAAACCGTTAAAGTTTTTGCGTCTATAATGACACAACGCACCTCTTAACTATCTAGCAATTATTTTTAATACTAGTATCGAATCTGGTGTATTTCCTGATTTAATGAAGCATAGTAAAGTAATACTTTTATTTAAATCTCGTAGTACATTGGACCCCGCCAATTTTATACCTATTTTTGTACCGCCACACAAACACTTAGTAAAATTTTTGAAAAATTATTCTTGATGTAATGTAATTTTTTTTAATATAAATAATTTACTTCATAAAAATCAACTCGGTTTTACAAGGGATCGCTCGACAACTGATGCTGGTGTTGAGCTGACTAAATATATCTTCAATGCATGGGAGAATGAACAGTATGCTTTGGGTATATTCTGTGACCAAAGCCTTCGATTGTGTTTCCCATGAAACATTAACCAGAAAACTTCAATACCACGGTGTAAGAAGTGATGCTCTTAAATTATTTTTTTCTTATTTATGTAACAACGCAAAATGTTGTCATTAATAGTATGAGCTCTTCCGGGTCGATAGTACAAATCAACAACAAAAGTGAGTCCATCTACGGATACTTCATATCATAATTTAGTCTGCTACAATGTATGACTTTGATCAACTTGGCGTAGAAGCCATTAGTAGTAACCAAACTAAAATTAAAAAAAAATAAAACATGTGTGCAGTTCACACGCGATAGAAGTGAAACCTTCAGAAAAAGATCGAAATAATAGGAAATACTGTATTCTATTTCATTCTCTCGCAGGCTCAATCCTATAGATATATGTTATATAATAGATATATGTTTGTCTCTTTTTTAGTGTCGCTTATTTGTTTCATCGAGTTTAAAATCACAACGATTCAAGAAGTTTTGACTTCAAAAATGAAAAAAAAATATATGTTTAATTTTTAATAACACCCACCTTACAATATGGTTCCACATTCAGATCTAATGGAGTAATAACTCGTATATGCATTTTCTTCTCCTGGTCGAAATTAAAAGCTCTATGAACTACAATCTTAATCTCGTAGCGAACATGGCCATAAGTGCCTTCAAAAGATGATGGACAGCAAGCAGGAATTAGGCAATCGAACAGAAGCTCGTGTTTACCAGGCTGAAGGTGGTACTCACCTGAAAAAATTAAAATAACTTCATGTGGTTTTGTGTTTCTGTCGAACACTACTTTTTGAATGGCAAAAATGCTTTTCAAAAAGTAGTGTCCCAGCTGAAGGTCAGTTTTGACCGAAGTTAAATAGGAAACCGATTATTCGGCTTCCGCTGAACATTCCCCTGAAGCGACTGAACCGTCCACGCCCCGCGAGTGTTTCTCGCCCCCACCTGTCCGCGAATTAAAATGTCACTTTATTTACGACCGCGCGAGGCTGTCTCAACAAAAACGATTACTACTGAAAAACTACTACCTACATATAAATAAAAACTATTCTCAAAAAGCTCAAAGAATTCAGAATTTTGTTATAAGTAAATTGGTCAAATTAAAAATAAAGGATGAAAATAAAGTTTAAAAATTGGAATATCAAAAAAGAAATCGTATTTATTTTTTACTATGTGTTTTACAAGAAAAGTATAATATTTACTGGAGACAATTATTTTATACTATAATAGTACATGATATTCCCTTTAAAATGAAACCAATATCAATAATATATTATATACTCAATATAGCTAAACATATAATATTTACTCAATATAAATCGCTTACCACCAGCGATTTTTCCGGACCGATACGACTTAGGGACCTTCAAGAAAAGAGCCTCCTCCTTTTTAAAAAGCCGGCAACGCATCTGTAATTCCCCTGGTGTTGCAGTTGTTCATCGGCGGCGGTAGTCACTTACCATCAGGTGAGCCGAATACTCGTTTGCCCCCTCTCCTATAAAAAAATAATATATAAAATAAATATAAAAGCTACTTTTTCAGATATGGGGCCTAAGTAGGTCAAACTGCTCACATATCGATGAACACTTTGAGGTTGAACCGCGTACAGAGAGTTGCGAATAACATGCTTTTGTTTCTTTTTAATTACTCGCTCCTTAGGTAGAGAGCGGTTGCATCATCGGTCTGTATAAAAGGCACTTGTTTTGGCTCGCCGCTCACTTAGCGGTTAGCCACCGTAGAGTCTATATCACCTGAGGATGCCTCGTGTAGAGGCGAAACACTTGTCGTATTATCGTCAGTGGTGTGTCTTGCCTAGTGTAGTGGTGTTGGGAGTAGCGGTGCTGGGATTAGTGGTGACGGGGATAGTGCACGCAGTTGAGGGAGGGCGGGAGGTGCTCTTCGTACTAGGTAAGACACATCATTTTATTTTATAACGCGGATATTTGCGAAGTAAATTTTTGTAAAAGCTTTTATATAATGGATTTCCGCAAAGTAACGCCTGATTCTATTAATTATATAAAATCAAATAAATAAATAAATAAAAATAAGTATTAATAATTTCTAGACACATCTCAACATATATTTCCTTTATAAATAGCTATCAACATGTTAATAGTGAAGCATTCTTTTATATTTAGCATTTATTTAACACAAAAAAACCGATTAGAATAAATTTTAAACAATATTGTCGTGACGATGTCGAGGACTGGTGCCGCAAATGTACAAGTTGTGCGGCTGTAAAGGGACCTCAAATTCGTAGTAGAGGCGCATTGAAATTGTACAATGTTGGTGCACCCCGACGTCACGACAGTGGACCCAGTAAAACCGTTCTGGGATCTTCAGTAGAGTTCGTTTAACTCCCAGGTGGCCTCCCAAACAACCACTATGGTACAGCTGTAGAACATCCGGTACTTTAGCCTTAGGACAACCATTTACAAATGACAACTGTCTCCCCGACCATTTTCCCATTTACGGCACAGAACTCCATTATGAATCAGCAAGCTGTCCCATTGGGCCCAATAGCTTTTCGTGGTCGAACTCATCGCTGAGACATCGCTCCACTTGGGCTTAGGAGCACTGGCCTTCATCCATTCCAGAATCGGCTTAATGTCCGAATCTTCCTGCTGGCTGTCCTTCCACTCATTGCTGAGCTGGTCTGTCCTGAGCATCCTCACAGATACCACTTCCTGACCCTCTTGCCTAGTACAATGCTTGCACTCTTCAGGGCAAGGCCTTCTTGACAATGCATCTGCATTGCCATGAGATTTCCCGCTGCGATGTTCAATTACAAAGTCGTATTCCTGCATTAGTTCAATCCATCTCGCAACTTGTCCTTCCAGATTTTTGAACTGCAATAGCCATTTCAGTGCAGCATGGTCAGTTCGTAAGTGGAATTTCCGCCCTAGAAGATATTTGCTAAAATGCTGCAAGGACTTTGCCACAGCAAGCAATTCCCGTCTTGTGACACAATAGTTCCTTTCCGGCTTTGACAACAACTTGCTGAAGTACGCTATCACAATCTCTTGATCACCATTCCGTTGAGACAACACACCGCCAAGTCCTAAATCACTTGCGTCTGTGTCAACTATGAATTCCTTGCCCGCATCAGGGTACCCGAAAATAGGTGTTTTGCACAGACGGTTCTTGAGCTCTTGGAATGCAATATCGCAACTTTCATCCCAGTAGAAATGTCGCTTCTCTTCGGTTAGCTTGTGCAGAGGTTTGGCTATATCTGCAAAGTTCTTCACAAATCGCCGATAATAAGAGCACAAACCCAAAAATGCTCTAACCTGTGTCTTGTCTTTTGGAACCGGCCACTCCTTTACAGCGGCAATTTTCTCTGAATCCGTGCGGATACCTTCTTCCGACACTACATACCCCAAAAAGCTAACTTGCCGTTTGAATAGTGAGCACTTCTTCGGACTCAACTTGAAGTTGGCACTCTGGATCTTCATGAACACGCGTTCCAGGTTTTGAAGGTGTTCCTCAAACGTACGGCCTACGATGATGATGTCATCCAAGTAGACCAGACAGGCATCTCCAATTAGCCCGGTAAGTACAAGCTCCATCAATCTTTCAAACGTTGCTGGAGCATTGCACAATCCAAACGGCATGACTTTAAATTGCCACAGACCCTTGCCTGTAGAGAATGCAGTTTTCTCCTTATCCTTAGGGTCAATTTCAACCTGCCAGTAGCCACTTTTCAGGTCCAGCGTTCTAAACCACTTTACGCCTGTAAGCATGTCCAGCGTGTCATCAATTCTTGGCAAGGGATAGCTGTCCTTCTTCGTAACATTGTTCAGGCGGCGGTAGTCAACACAAAACCGCATGCTGCCGTCCTTCTTCTTTACCAGCACCACAGGTGAACACCATGGACTAGATGAAGGTTCAATAACACCATCCTTCACCATTCCCTCAATCATGGTTTCCACGTGCTACAGGCAATTTTCTTGGCCGCTAACGAATAGGCAATTCTTCTCCTGTTTATTTTGTGTTGAACTAAGCCAGTCTTTCCTATGTCAGCTTCGTTTGACGAGAAAACATTGGTGTACTTGAGTAACAACTTCATTGCCTTGACCATTTCATTCGGGGTGAGAACGCTGCGACAGTCTTCTAAAAGTGTGGTCACTCTCGTTTGTCCATCCTTTCTGGGGGTCACAGTCGATAGATATTCGCACCGACGCAACCAAACCACTTCCTCACTAGTACCAACCAATGTGCCTTTTTCTATAATCTGTTCCTGATCACGAAGGTTCAACACACGTACTCCTGAGATGTCGGTGGTTCTGACCATGATTGCAGCCACTTTCCATGGAAGGTCATTGTCTACCCTTTCCACGAGTACACAACGATGAGCTTGCCCAGGATTCCGAGGAAGACTAACCGGCACAATCGTTTCAGATCTCGACGGAAGAACAACCTTCTTAAGGCTGTACACATTCCCTGGTAACGCCCCTTCCACGAAAAGTTCCTCTTGTCCACATTTCAAAACACCTTGCTTAACGTCGATCTCACAACAATTCTTCCTCATAAAGTCTAGGCCCAGGTTGCAGTCGTCCATTATATCAGCCACGATGACATTATGCAGGTAGATCATGTTGCCTAGCTTCAACTCCATCTCCTTCTCTCCACGAACGGGTATGGGCTGACCAGTGGCTGTCACCAAATTAATGCGTTCTCGGTTGTATGCGGAGTCCCCAAGGAACCGACTTATAAGTTGGGAATTGACAACCGTGCGAGAGGCTCCAGTGTCTATGGTCAGTTTACACAGCGATGATGATTGATGATTAGGCTGTTCCCATCATGGGTTTGTGAAATCGAAATCCTTGGGGCTCTTTTAACATCAGCCAGCACCCGCCAGTTTCTCTGCTGCTGCTGGGCGGTGCTGTTAGCCGCACTACCCTCTCGAGATCGATCACTTTCCCTTTCTACAGTTCGCTTAGGGCAGCTGGATTGAAGATGGCCCATTTCCCCACAGCTGTAGTACCTAGGGCTGTAGCCGTTATTGCGGTCCCGAACTGTAGCTGCTGCAAACTCCCTGACGCGGTGGGAATGATGATCCTGCCGCACGGCTTCCACCTCCAGTGCATGGGTCAAGGCGTCCTTAAGCTTCTCGTGGTGCCCGAGCCTCACAGCAGCTCTGACTTCAAGGTCGCGGATGCCGTCGATGAATGTCTGCACCAGGTTCCCTACAATGAGCGCAAGTACAGACTGGTACGCTTATCGGACCAGCTTCTCCACCTCAAGGGCCCACTGCTGCAGGTTTTCATTACTGCGTTGCACGCGATCTTTGAGCTGCGCACGAAAGACGTGTTCCAAGTGAGCGTCACCATATCTCGCCTCCAATGCCTCAAGGAGCTGCTCGTAAGTTACTTCCTTACCGAGAGCTTCCAGAACAGTTACGGCCTGGTCGCTTAGGCCTAGGGTGAGAGCAGTCATGGCCTGACTTTTATTCCAGCCGTTCGCTTTCATGACAGCCTTGAACTGGATTTTGTAGGCCGACCAGGAAGAAGTCCCGTCGAACGGTGGCACTTTGAATCCACGTAGCGAAGGTGTTGTAGCTACCACGGGAGCTGTAAATCCATCCCCAATTTCGAGGTCGTTCAGCGTTTTCTTCATGTCAACCATCACGTTGTCAACCCGATTATTCACTTGGTCGAGTCGGGTTTCAGCTTCCGACAGGCGGTTGTCATGTTGAGCAACCCTATCCTTTCTCCTTCCCGAAGGTAGCGTGAAGG